AGAGAGTGATGGTACTGAGGCTTAGCTCATTTAAACAGTACGTGTTATGATATACTTGTATATGTATGTAATATATATATTTTTGCACTAAGGTATGCATATAGGTTTGTGTGTTTAGTAATATTTTTTGTTGTTGAATTTTGTGTATTTAATATCGATGGTAAGCGTATATAAGCAATAAAATAACTATTTCTGGTTGTTTATGTAACTGACTGTTTAAACCACTCGTGAATACGGCTACGGATAGATAATCATCCCATAAACTTGTTTCATCATTTGATGAGTTTGGTAAAAGTTTACCAAGTTTAAACAAAACTTAATGTGGCTCTTTGTTCGATGCTCATTTCCGACTGACACTACAAATGTAATGGCACATGAAGCGCGATATCTCAGCTGTTATACAAGTCAGCTGTTATATAAATTTTATACGACAACACTGAAGAATACACAATTGAGGGATAACAATTTCAGACAGATGGCGCCACTAGAAGCCGCGTTGTTTAAAAAGTCCTGAAACTTTTGAATTGCACCTTGTACCTCGTTATCTCAATTTACAGAAAATTGTTCAAGACATGAAAAGTGAAGAACGCATATGTTAATTAGTTTTCGACGAAGTATCAATTAGAAAAGATTTCACATATAATAAAGTTCGAGATTTAATTGATGGCTTTGTCGATAATGGAGAAGGTCACCGAGAAAGCGTGATCGGCAATAAGTGCTGCTTTTTTATGCTAAAAGGCTTAGTCGGAAAATGGAAATATGTACTTTCCTATTATGTGGCAAAAGATGGCGTGAAAAGTACGCAATTGATGAAATTGCTCAAGAGCAATATAAATGCCTCGGCGAAAATCGGGCTAAACATCAAGACAATAGTTTGTGATCAAGGTACTCAAAATCTAAAATTGAGACCATATTGGGCGCAACGCTAGAACAGCCGTATTTTTTTCATAATGAAAAAAATATTTTATATGTTCGATTATTGCCATTTAATTAAATGCATACGCAATGCGATAGTAAAACATGACATAAAAACACGTGATGGCATAACAACTTTTGAAGTTGTTAGAAAAATATATGCCATCGACCAAGCGAATGTTAATGTGTACCCCGGGACTTTCGATAAAATGTCTGTCTCAAAAGCTACCCAACTGCTCAGTAATTCGGTCGCGGCAGCAATCGGAATGGCGATTAAAGAAAATATGTTGGGCTCCGATGAGCATATTAATAAATGCGCCAAAGCAACTCAACTGCTTTTTAAAAAAATGAATGACCTTTTCGATGAATTGGATTGTAAAACACTTTACAATCCAAATCCGTTAAGGCGGCCAATACAGAGAAATTGTATTGCTAAAATTAATCGGTTGAAAGATCACATCGATTTTATTAAAGCCATAATAAAGCCAAATAATATAATATCATGCTTCGATTCCACTGTATTAACAATCAATGCAATGATTGCTTTGAGCGGCGATATATTTAATGAACATTTAAATATATCATTTATACTCTTAGGGAAGATGAACCAGGATGCCTTAGAAAACTTTTTTATAAATACGGGCAAACTTGGGATGCAATAATCATCCCTCCGCACATAAAATGCAATATATTGTTGCAAGGCTACTATCTATGCACATATTGCGTCGAAAATTCTCACAAACTGGCAGCAATTGTGAAGAAGACGACGATATTAACCTGGAATGGAATATTGGCCAAGAAGACGACCTGGGAGATAATTTAAAACCAGCTGAGCAACTTGCCGTGGAACAAATAGATATTCCAGATGAGCACTTTGCGAATACTGAGAAAACAGCTGAGATACAGGTACATCGGTACTATACCGGATATGCCATATACCAGAAGGTCTTGTGTAGATTGAAGTGCCAAAAATGTGTGAGTGTAATGAAGAAGAGTGATAACTCTCTAGAAGACTCATCGGAAGCCCTTATAAGATTTAAAAATTATAAAAGTCCCGATGATCTAAGGCTGGTCAATCCCGAGGATAGAATATTTCAAATAAGCCGCCTTCAAATGAGCTATACAAAGAGCTCTTCTTGAAGAATTCATGCAGAGTGGGTATAAAAACATTTATAATAACCCAGATTACTGCAAAAACAGAGGAAGAATACCCAGAGTGGTATAACGAAGCGGGTGATTGCCTAGGGCACAGGCATCAATTTTTAGATTTTATTAACAGTTTTGTTATACAAAACTCAAAGTGGCTGGCTCAGCAAACGGAAGAGCTTCACCACAAAGTTATCAAGGAACGTTATTTTAAAAATAAAGAAAATTAAAAAATTGGTAACGTAGACTGCAGGCCAGTACAAATTTTTGGAACAACTTCCGGGTTAAAATAGGTAAAATAAATGTTATTGAATACATCAGTTTAATAACTAATACACATTCTCTCTTTATTTCAGATACTTAAAAACTAATAGCGTTTTTTTTTCTTTCAGGGTAGAATTAAGTTGTAAATAGTTAGTTTATAGTTTGTAGTAGTTTTGGTATTTGTTATTGTTAGTTAGTTATAGTAGTTTGTTATGATTGTTCGCTGTCGAACCTGCACCTTCTCATTGTTTTAAGTTCTCTGTCATCAGGGGGTGCACTAGTACATATTTTAAAAACATTTAAATAAGTATGAATTTAAGTGTATTTATATTTTTACGCAAATATTATAATATTACGTAAATATGCCCTAAATACTAGTATTTCTGAATACAAATTAAGAAATATATTAATACAAGTATTTTATAAATCTTCTGTTGAAACGCCTCTGTTCATGCTGGCACGCCATGGAAGTAACGGCGAGTTCGCGGGGAGACGGGGCGGAGCAAATAATTGAGTTCTGACAAAACCTTGAAAATAAAAAAATTACAACTATGCCGACAAACATATATACATACGAGCTCGCATACATATTGACGCGGAATTTTGCGCATTGTCGCGGAAGTGACAAAATTTGTTTGAATGTCGATCGGCTATATTGTCACGTTTGTCCTTTTTGCAGTGCTTTCCTATTAAAATTTGACTTATGCTTTTTTGAAATTTACTACGTATATTTAAGTTCTCGGGCTTTAACCAATAATCCTCTTATATAATTTGAAGGTTTATTTTAAATAACAATAATTATGATTTTTTGGTAATATGCAAATATAAATCAGCATGCGCATAATTCATTTAAAAACATTCTTTGTGTCTATTTATAGCCTTTTCCCCGATCATTGCGTGGTGTATTTAAAAAAGTTCCAAGTTGTATTTTTCGATGTTCCCTCTAGTGAAAAGCTCAAATTAGTACTTCTTAACATTTGCGCCTTCTCTATTTATTAACATTCTCTGATTCAACTGTATAAAAATTACAGCGAAAATCCAAACATCGTGAAAACAACAACAACATCGAACCAAATTCTGACCGATCAAAATCAATATAATTATATTCATAAAAGATTTTTGTTTCCTTATTAAGTGACCTTAATTTGGCCTGGCAGTTGTTTATATCAAGAAATGTTTCTAGAAAGAACAAGCAAAACGTTTTCCGTTGGATGAAACCGTTGGCAGGTTACGTATTCAGATTTAGTTATCCATATAGTCGCTAACTAAAGGAAATGAACCTGTAAGGGGTAACGAGTTGGGTGAAACCGAAGTTAACGTGTCTTTTGTACTAGATACATTGATAAATTAAGATTATATGCAGACTGAAATAAAAAATTTTAATTTGGATATCTTGTCAACTAATATTAATTCCATTATTAATTATTAAGTTAAAATAAAGATGCGATTTTTAAACCTAAATCGAAAAATTTTTCGAATGATTTTCAACCTGTATACCTACAATCTGTAAAGATTTAACTTTCGTCGTGGTTTCATAAAACCACACACTCTTGTTTATTATTGTATATTAATAAATTGAAATTATTGAACAATACTTGGTTAACAAATGTTTGTAAATCTTTACAGCTCAGGATCCTAAATGGAGTTTGGAACGACGTGAGTCATCAGGACACTTGGTTTGGCGGAAGGAGTCTCCTAGTTCTAAAGTACGTTTTCGTTTTGATGTTGAAGTATTGGAATTTGAGAAACAGCCTCATGAAGATAGTGAATACAGAAAAGGCGGATATTCTGCTAGTAATATTACTTCAACTATAGCACTTTGTGCTACATGTGTTGCGGCGGTTGCTGCAAGTGTTTTTTTACCATGGTATATTATGGATAAGGCGCTATCAAGGAGTTCATAGTTTTGTTCTTTTATGGTGCATTGGAATTTTATACACAACTTTAATCCAATTTTTACACATCAAATTGTTTTATGCTAAGAGAGCGAAAATGTATACATGTTGACCATTTTAAGCGAAGTTATACTTATCGAATTTATTTTTATAAAGAGAAATTTTCTCTGTTCTTTAGCGTGCTATAGAAAAAATGTGTACCAAATCGGAATCATATAAATAAGAATTTCAGTTAAAATTTTTGAACATGTAACAAAATCTACCAAGTATAATCAATTAAATTACTCGCAAATTGATCTATATGAATTTACGCTTAAATATTTATACGTCATACATTATAATTAGTATTGTGTAAAGATAAGTGCCTTAAAACGAATTAAGAAATATTTAAAGTTTATGCTAATTTTAATACTAGTGAGTTAAATCTGTGATCTTGAAAGCATCGCCCAATATCAATATTTACTGATGTTGTAGACTTAATAAATATTTAAATTTCAAGTATAAGATTTTCAATAAATAAGAACCTTAATTTAATATACACAGCTTAAGATAATATAATTATATTTGGCATTATTATTTTTAATAAACTTTTGTAAAGAACATGATTAAACCCCAGAAGTTGGTCAAAACTAAGAAGATGTTAACGTTCTATTAAAAAAATTCCTTAAAACTAAATGAAGGATTTACTTCGAAATGAGTAATAATACTATATACCTATTGGCACTTAAGCTATTTAGCTTAAAGTAAAATACTCGTAGTTTGTAATCACACATTAATGAATGAAGTATTTAAGAACTAATCTAAAAGTGTGTTTATGTGCTTACATACATGCATACATATGTATGTATGTATCAAAGAGTTCATAATTAAAACATGAAGCTTTAAGGGGTTAGATGGGTCTACCCGGGCAAAAAACAGCATATTTAAAAAAAAAAATTTATAATATAAGAAATGAAATATTTTATTCAAACTTTTTATTAATACAAAGATACATATTTTACAAAGACTTTGACAAATTTGCAAAAAAAAAGGTACAAAACTCGAACATTACGACGTCGATTCCGGCAGTACCTCGGAAAAAATGTGCCTCCGTGATAGCAAAGCTTCTTATAGGATCATCTGAAGTAAAAACAAAAAATACGAGTTAATTAGTTGAGACTATAACCAAGGTATTGGACAAAGGGGAAAAAAGTGAGAGCTGCATTTTTGGCAGACGATTTTACAAAAAGTACCAATTTTGATGAGAATTTCTCAAGGTGTTTTTATAAGTAGTTGTAATTGAAAAAAAAAAATATCCTTCGTTCAAGCCCATGTAAATTATTACAAGTACATATCTCGAAGACCGTCGCACTCGTAAAAGAATTAGCATTTACCTCAGGATTTTTCGGATTAAACGACTGTTTCCTTTTCTTAGGTCTATCTTTTCTACGAGCACTAGAAACTTTTAACGGCATTTTTAAACGAATAAAATTGATAACGAACACTTATAACCTCAAAATAAACCTCGTGATTCAACGAGAAATTACCAACTGAAATATTTCTAAGTAGTTTCCCTTAGAGAATGAAAGAAGGGGACAATAATTACGCGTAACAATAGACAAGCAGCTGCTCCGTTATACCTGGGCGCTAAGCCTAACTGACCTCGAACGCACAACTATTCAAGGCTGTATCTCCACAACTATTATTCGGATCAACTTGAGCATTTAGGACAATACTCTAGAGAAATTATAAAATTAAACAAGACAATAAAAAAATTGATTTTTCAAACCGTGAAACATATGTAACCCCTTAATACTTGAAGTTATAGAACAAAGTATGTATGGTAAATATATGTATGTATGTATGTGTCATCAGATTCTAAATTTTCGTACTATGTTGCTCTGAAAAGGCCAAATCATCTCCCCGAACACTTACGATCATCATTATTATCATTGTAGTGCGATGTCCATACGGTTGAGCATATTATAAAACATCTGAGATTACCATCGAAATACTGCGATAGATACGTTCAGGCAGACAATTACTGACTCTTCGACATGTGAAGAAACTTAAAATATGCATTTTATATACACATGTATGTATGTTTTGTTTCAGATATCGTTTCTGAGTTTGCATTGTGAACGTATTTTTTATAATAAATCATATTATATTGTATACATGGTTAAGTTAAATTACTATTGAACCTTTTAATAAATGCGTGCAATTATGAATCAATCAAAATATTTTAGCAGGGCAACGTTGTGCTTTATATATGTATAATAATAAATCCTAAAGGTAACTAACAAATTTAAGAATGCCTAAACATAAAAAAACTCTTTCCAATCTGCCTATTAGACGAACCTTTTGGATAGTGAATTATTAAACCCAATTAGCATTTCTATGGTATTATACAAATCAATTTATATCTGTTTTAATAGTTGGTGTACATTAAGTTAGATTGCCCGAGGAATACTAATAAGTGAGTAAAATTTGTGTACGATTTAAATACATAAGGAAATTATTTCAAATCTGTTGATTAAAACACATTTGTATTTACAACGTACTGTTCATTTTTATCGTTATCTCGCCGAGTTATGAGAATAATTGCACGAAATGCGTACACATCAAGCGAAAGTTTGTAATTTTTAATTAATGGCAGTTCAAATAAGGTTTAGGCTATATTATGTCACTGGATAGTGGCTGAATTTTCAGTGGCTCGATGAAGGCTAAATATTCAGTCGTATTTTCATGAAAGGACATTTGAGTGTTTACTTTCTATTAAATAGCGATTTTCGTATTTATGATCATCGGTGATCATATATCAGATTATATCAACGGTGATTCGGCTTGTTCTTGAATGTATATATCGATTAATTCTTGTTTGTACACATTGAAATAAGGTTTTTGTAGTATCATAGTTGGCAAGACAACCATTTCTAGGGCAACTGGAAATTGTTCCATTCAGAAATAACAGGATTTTATATTATTCTCTTGAATATTATACTTACAGTTATATTTACAAACGAATTATATTTTTCATCAATTATATTTACAAACGAATACCCACAATAGTCAAATTTTTGAAATAAAACTAGTAAGGAAGGGCTAAGTTCGAGTGTAACCGAACATTTCACACACTTGCATCTTGCAAGGATCAGAGCCGGTTAAATACTTTCAAACTTTATATTAAGAAATGTAGCGAAAAGGTTCAACTTCATTGTTCGACGAAATGGGGATTGGATTACAATCTGAGATGTTATAAAGCCTATTTGTTTCATCTAATCTATTGAACTTTTAGTAGTTTTTAACAAAACCGTTGTATGGGGAGTGGGCGTGGTTATCCTCCGATTTCTCCTATTTTCATGCTGTCGCAAGACGTATTGAAATGGTATGTCTTTTGCAAATTTGGGTGATATAGCTTGAACATTTATAAACCACAGATGCCACTCAATATTGCGATTCGTTTTACCAAATTACGGTTTAGTATTATATCTTAATTTTCGGCTTAGTTATGACAATTTATAGGTTTTCGATTCACAGTCACTCGGAATTCAACTCGTCATACTGATATACATATATACATATATAACTCCTATAATTAAACGAAAGTATTTGCGATATATGGGTAAATATATTTCCAAGTAATTACTTTTCCATCTCCTAAATTCTTTGACATACTGAAGATCACATATTACACTCATCATACTGCTTTTCAAGAATGTGTTTTTAATTCGATCAAAAGTCAGGGCAGTAAAAGGAGTTACCAGAGTCCAAAATTTGATTTCGGATACGGGACAAACCCTTCTTATAAGCAGCACCTCAAATATAATGATTGAACGATTTTATATCCCCGTCATCTGATTTAATAAAAATTCAATATTTTACAGATAAAAATCAAATTTCGGATAGAATTCTTCATGACGGCAGATTGGATGAGATTAGTCAAACTAGCTTTCCAAAAATCGTCCAATCTATATGGCAACCCAACCAATTCTGCATCGGAAAGATAAATCGCGATTCTCTCGATGACAATACGTAAAAAAATATACTCACATCAGCCATATAAGTTTCCTGCTACTAAACTCTCATTGGTTTTCGAGATTGGAACATAAGCACATATAAACAAGGAATATCATAATGATTGCGTATATAAAGCGTTCAAGTATTATGTGGAAAACATAGTGATATCTCATCAAAATTATGAAAAATACTCACCTTGCTAAAGAAAAAGAAGAAAAGTGAGCTTTAGAGCAGGAAATATCTTTTAGAGGTGATTACGATAGTGGCACTTTTTCATGGACACGACCTCAAAGAAAAAATGGAAACTTTCGGGCCCTTTTACGTGTAAGAACCGAATCTAGTGGCAGAGTTTTGGAAACCCATGTTATTAACAGCACAAAAAATTTACTTATTTGATTCCGCAAATACATAACGAAATTGTTCAAATTTGTTCTGATATCGTCACTGGTAAAGTTACTAATAAAATCAATAAATCGGCGTTGAAACCATGGATATTTCGGACGCTGAACAGCTTTCACTATATCTACGTTATGTCGATTTTTCGAAGAATGTTCCTGTTCTAAGAGAATATTTCATTGGATTTCGAGATCTTAAACTTAAAGTGTACAAAATATAGCTTGTGCAAGAACTGAAGAAGCTCTTAAAAAATTCCAAGAAGGATCCGACGTTTTCGAGTCAAATTTTGTTCGTCGATGAGGCCCATTTCTGGCTCAATGGGTATATAAACAAGCAACATTGCTGAATTTGGGACAAAGAGCAACCTCAAGAAGTTAAAGAGCTGCCATTTCGTTCATTCTGACATTTACTATTTCTGAGTTTTTTTCTTTAAAAAAGTAGAGAATGTCAAAATGGATCACCCTATAGGTCATTGACTCAATCAGTTTTAAAACTATACGTTACTTCTCGTCAGCGAAAATTATATTGAAATCATCCTCAAATGAGATATACTTAACATAAGCTTAAGCGGAGAGGCCAAATTTTAAATATGATGTGCAAAACGTTAACCAGAAGACCAAGGTCTATGCTAGATCAACTCCACTCACTAAGGGAATTATTGATCCGATTCATCCAATTTTGATACACAGGCATACTATTATCATAAAATGATCCTCTCCGAATTTCTATAATATATTTCACAGATTTACCGATATTTTCGATTAAAAGTTCGAAATAGGAACTGGGGTCCACACATTTGGTACCTAGGAGCTTGAATGGTTTTGGTTCGATTTGAATAATTTTTGGTCATAAGGTGGCAAATTTCAAGGCAGTAGTCGTGAAAAGTTTTATCCCATTTTATTCAATGATTTGTATTCAGGAGAGTGAAAGAATTAGATGGAATTTAAAATTGTGTTATATGGGAAGTAGGCGAGGTTGTAGTCTGATTTTGTCCGTTTTCATACCGTAACATTAAAATATAATAAGAGTAGGTCTGGAGATATGGGTTTTCACCTCAATGTACACGGTGCCACGCCCAAAGTACAATTTTGACATCGGCTCTAATAAAGTCTTCTTGTATCATTAAGGGTGTAAGATTTGATGTCTCTGGCGCATTTATTTAAAGACTTTTCGCACTTTAAGTAGTGTTTAGCAAAACCGTTATATGGGGAGTGAGCGGGGTTATCATCCAATTTCACCCATTGGACACACTGTCAATAGGAGTGATAAAAATATTTACTCTGTGTGAATTTGGTTATTATAGTTTCAGCGGTTAAGGGGATATGTACATTAAACCTGTTTGGAGGCGATTCGTCACACCAAATAATAGCTTTGTATCTTATTGTGGAGCTTAGTTATGGCTATTTATTGGTTTTCGATTAATGGCCTTTTGTTGGCGTGGTCCGATTACGCCCATCTACAATATCAACCGTCTTACGCTGCATGGGAACATGCGTATCAAGGGTCTACGACCATTTTCAACAATTTTTGGGCGACAAATGGAATACTTTGAGGCCAATATTTGTGCAAAGTTTTACTCTAATAACTTCATTGATGTTTGATTTGTATACTGTAAGGTGAAGAAATCAGATTGAATTTAAAAGTTTGTTATATGGGAAGTAGGCGTGGTTGTCAATCGATTTCGCCCGTTTCCACAGTGTATAATAGGAGTGATTGGTTTACCGATTGGTTTTTTTCGTTTACAGGATTTTTGGCCATCTGCAATAGCGACCCTCCTAATCTAAGATATCTAAATTTTTACTCAAGTTATCGCTTGCACAGACAGACGGACAGATAGTCACCCGGATTTCAACTCGTCTCGACATCCTGATCATTTATATAATTGAACATTTGTTGTGAACGGGCCTGAATTTTTTTTCTGTTTGGTTGAAATGCCATCTGTCAAACATATTCAATAACTTTACAGTCATTAATAAACAACATAATATTTTTTCATTTTGTTGAAAATCTCAAATTTTGTACCGAAAAGTGATGATTTGCGGAAAGCAATAATTTTTTGTTTCCATTTGAAGAAAAGTGCATCAGAGTCCCATCAAATGTTTCAATGGTTCAGAGATAATGATTTTGAAGACCATCAAAAAAGTTTGAAGACGCCAAACTACAAGCAATATTGGATGAAGATGATACTTTGAGTCAAAAGCAAATGGAAGCCATGTAAATTTTGCACAACAAACAATTTGAGAAAGTTGGGAAAGCTATGAGAAAGATCCAAAAGTGTGGAAAATTGGTGCCACATGAATTGAATGAAAGACGAATGGAAAACCGAAAAACGCTTGTGAAATTTTGCTTTAAAGATATGAAAGAAAACCAGTTTTGCATCGAATTGTAACTGGCAATGAAAAATGGAGATATTATAAAAATCTTAAATGGAGAATCATGGGTTAATCCGGGTCAACCGTCAACATCGATGGTCGACAAAAGCAGATGTTAATAATAATCGCTTCAGACAACAAATGATCAATCTGAACATTGCATTGATCGAAAAATGACCAGAATGGGCCAGAAGACACGGCAAAGTAATTTTGTTACACTAAAATGCACCTGCACAAAAAAGCAAAATCGGTTCAGCATACAATCAAAACATTTGGCTGGAAGCTGCTAGCCCACCCGTCGTATTCATCAGACTTGGCACCCTCCGATTACCATTTGTTTTCATCGATGGGACACGGATTGGCTGAGCAGCATTTCGATTCCTACGCAGATGTCGAAAATTGGGTGTCTAATTGGTTTGCTTCAAAAGACGAACATTTCTATTGGCATGGCATCCACAAATTGCAAGAAAGATGGTCAAAATGTGTAAAAATCAATTCTCAATACTTTGAATAAATTTGTATTACTTTCCCATTCAAAATTAGTATTTCATTTTCACAAAAATGAATTTCGCTACAAAGTATAATATATATACCTGACGGTTATGCGTATCACTTTAAACTAATAGATATAGGTTTACATATTATATGAATGATCAGGATTAAGAGACGATTTGAAATCCAGATGTCTGTCTGCCTGGAAGTTGTAACTTCAATAAGAATTAAGACATCATGATTAAACTTAGTCCTTGGCAAAAAAGTGGTAACGAGTTTGTAGATGGGCGTAATAGGAATACTGCCACGCCCACAAAACGCCATCAATCGAAAATCTATAAAACGTCAGTACTAAGCACTAAATTAAGATACAAATCTGAAGCTTTGTACAGAAGATTATATTTTTTTAGAAGTGGTCGTGGCCCCGCCTCCTAATAAGTTAAACGCATATATCTCTTAAACCATTTAAGCTATATGACCAAAAATAGCATAGAATAAATATTTTTGACTCTTCTTCCGACAGTGTGAAAATGGATGAAATCGGATGATAACCCCGCTCACTTCCAATATAACGGTTTTGTTAAAAACGACTAAAAATGCAATAAATCAAAAATTAAATGCGTCAGAGACATTAAATTTTATATCCGGGATGGCACAAGGCAGTTTAAAAGGCCGTTGTCAAAATTTGACGGTGGGCGTGGCATGGCTAACATTTAGGCGAAATCATGTATAGGTATACTTCATAAACTAAATATCGGCCAACATGTGAGCTGTTTTAATAAAATTCAGTAAATGTATTTTCCTTATAATTCTTCATATTTGTGCCCAAAATAAATAAAATCGTAATCGTAATCATATATGTAACTAATCACAGAATTTTCAAACGTATTCACAGTGGTTTCGCTTGTATGGGAGTCGCGGCTATTAATACTTTTAAATGAGATATCGTTTTGAAATTTTCACCAAAAGTCTATAAAAATATGATAAATGTTATTGGACGTCTATATCCTATAGTTCATAGTCAGTAACGGCTCGATCAATGTTTTATTTATTTTATTTTGAGGGAAGTTGGTCGTGGATTTACTAATAATAATACAACACAAAAGTAAAATACACACTTTCAAGAATGTTCGCATTGTTTGGTGGTACTAAAAGTGTTGTGATAACAGAAAATTAAACCAAGAAAAACATTTATATATTATAATTAGAAAGCGAACAACAATTTAATAAATAATTTTCATATTGTCTCATCAAGTAAATCTTTAGTTGACTTTAGTGGCGTTGATTTATGGTTCTAAGCAAGTTTTCGTTGCCCAGTAATAAAGGGATCAGAGCTTAAAATCAATCTGATCATTAAATCTGTATTTGAAGCGACGCGTGAAATTTTCCGTGTATGTTGTAATTGAAACCTTTTTATACTCTCGCAACATGTTGCTACAGAGTATAATAGTTTTGTTCACCTAACCGTTGTTTGTATCACCTAAAACTAATCGAGTTAGATATAGTGTTATATATACATATATAAATAATCTGGATGAAGAGACGAGTTGAAATCCGCCTGACTGTCTGTCCGTCCGTATGTGCAAGCTGTAACTTGAGTAAAAATTGAGATAGCTTTTTGAAACTTGGCACACATGTTTCTTGGTATCGTAAGACGGTTGGTATTGCAGATGGGCGTAATCGGACCACTGCCACGCCCACAAAACGACTTTAATCAAAAACAAATAAATTGTCAAAACTAAGCTCCACTATAAGATACAGGACTGTGATTTGGTATACAGGATCACATAAGAGAAGGGCATCGGCAGTTAAGTTTTTTTTTTAAGTGAACGTGGTCTCGCCCCCTAATAGGTTTAATGAGCATATCTCCTAAACCGCCAACGCTATACCAACAAAACTCACTGCCAATAACTTTTTTTAGCACTTCTATAGACAGTGTGAAAGTGGGTGAAATGGGAGACAACCCCTTCCACTCCCCATATAACGGTACTGTTAAAAACTACTAAAAACGCTATAAATCAAGCACTAAACACGCCAGAGACCTTAATATATCTCTGGATGGTATAAGATGATTATAGGAACTTCGGTACATAACATTCCTCTCATATTTCTATGCAATAGTGCGAAAATCGGCGAAATCGGATTACAACCACACTTATTTCCTATATAACACCATTTTGAAATCCATCTGATTCTTTCACCTTCCACTATACAAATCAAGCAACAATGGTTGTATCCGGGTAAAACTTTACGTCAATAATG